GCTACCAGAGCTCCTTATCATAGCCTTTGAAAACCCTGTAAGTACAAAGTGTTTTCAAAGGCTATCAAAACATACTGCTCTGACACCTATGGACATATGGGGTCTCCATGAGTCAGAGTAGACGCATGACAAATGGCAAATGTGTGTGCTTTTTGTTTTTTATTTAAAGAAGCTCCGTGAGTCTAGAGAGAGAGTATGCAAGGCAGTTATGAAGGAAGGTATTCAAACAAATTTGGATCTTGGGCAATGTATGAGGGACTTCAAATATTTGAGGGGAAATTCCATTTTCTTATCATTCCATTTTTCCGTGAGGTTTTTGAAGCCTCTCACTGTATGAAACTTGCCTGGTGATCCAGTGATTAAGCACTCAGGTACGAATCAGAAGGTTTGAGGTTTGAATCAGCTGGCCATGCTACCGGAGAAAGACGGGCCAGTCAGTTTTCTATAAAGATTGCAGCCTCGGAAAGCCTCAAGGGCAGTTCTACTCTGTCCCAAAGGATTGATTGCTTTGAGCTGTAATCAACTTGATAGCAATGGTTGTCTATTGATTTATTTGGTGGCAGGTGTGAAGGAGGGGCCGTCTATGCATTGGGAGACCTGGTGGTGCTGTGGTTAAGTGCTGGACTGCTTTTTGTATATTTTAACTATAATGGTTGATGACTGCTGCGAGTCTACCAACTCATTGCAACCCTTGTATAGGGTTTCTGAGGAGCGGCTGGTGAGCTTGAACCACCGACTTTTTGATTCAAACCAACCTTGCAGTCCAGAGCATTAACCCACAGCGTTACACCAGGACTCCTTAAGTATAATAGAATCATTTTATCTGTTCTACATCTATTGACTAGAAGACAACAGGAGAAAAGCATTTGGTTTAATAAGTCCATATAAACAACTTTTAATAACTTATTTATCTTTAGTGATTTAGAGTTAGAATGTGATTTGTGTCCAAATTATTGTAAAAAAAAATAGTTTTCTTTCTTTTTTTAAATTAAATTGAGGCAAAACCTTGCAAATAATGGTGCTAACATTTACAATATGTACTGTGTGTTGCACACTGCTCATGGTATTTTTTAATATATTAGTTCATTTAATCCTTACTGCGTCCAATAAGGAAGGTTCTATTGTGGATCTCATTTTATACATGAAGAAATGGACACAGAGAGGTTAAATCATTTTCAAATTTACAAAAGTAGGGAGAAGATTCCATCCTATAATGTCTGACCCTAAATCCCATGCTTTTAACAGTTCCATTCTGTAACTTCACATTCAAGTAGAAGAAGAGTAATCTCTGATTAAATATAATACCAATATGTTTACAAGGAGTTTAATATTTGGTGTTATATTCCAGAATTAAATATTACACTCAAGTAAAAATTGAGAAGCTGAATTCCTTTGTGGAAATACACACTGTATATACAACATTTTATTTCTTTTTCTTTTAGTTTTTCAGTTATGGAACAAAAATATTATATCAAGACATTGAAGCCGCTCGGTCTAAATTCTTTCCACCCCTTCAAAAAATGATGCTACCACCTAATAGTTTTCAAGGAAAAGTGGCGTTTATTACCGGAGGAGGGACTGGCCTTGGGAAAGGAATGGCAACTGTTCTGTCCAGCCTCGGTGCCCAGTGTGTGATCGCCAGCAGGTAAGCCCATCTCAGCAAATTGCAAGAGACTCCTTTAAGAAAAAGCTCTGCTGCCGTTGTGTTGAAAACAGTTTGTCAGAGTGATTCGGTTTGTATCTTAGTCTTATATAAAACACCCTTGTTATTAGTTGCCTTGGTAGTTGCCTTGGAGTCAGTTCCTACTCATGGCAACCCCGTGTGTGCAGAATGGAATGCTCCATGGGGTTTTCAAGACTGTGCCCATTTGGGAAGCAGATTGTCAGGCCTGTTTTCTGAGGTGACTCTTAGTGGGTTTGAACAGCCTAACCTTTAACTTGTAACTGAGCACTTAACCATTTTAGCACCCAGGAACTTCAAATACCCTTAAATGCTTACATACATTTCCTTGGGTGGAATTTGAGTCAGATATAATTTGCGAATGACAGAAACGAAACGATGATAATGATAGTTTTTGTTGTTGTCGAGTTGGTTCCTATCCATAGCAACCCTGTATAGGGTTTCCAATGAGCGCCTGGTGAGCTTGAACCATTGACTTTGCGGTTTACACTAACTTTGCAGTCCAGCGCATTAACCTACAATACCACACCAGGACTCCAGGAACAGATGATATATACATTTCCGAAATTCAGGAGTAGAGTATTTTTTCTGTATGTCAAGATGAAGTTAAAAACTTCTTAAATGAGACTGCTTTGTTTTTGGTGGGAGTAATTATGATTGCTGTTTCAATAGGTTATTAACTTGAGTAGAATGGATCTAGGATTCCTGGTGTGGCACTGTGGGTTAATGCAAAGTCGGTTTGAACCACAAAGGCAGCTTTTCAAGCTTACCGGCTGCTCCTTGGAAACCCTATCCAGGGTCACTATGGGTTGGAACCAACTTGATGGCACTTAACAACAACAGAATGGATATAATCCTCCCATTTTTCTATAAGATGGACAAATATTTCAAAACACTTTCATTGTGATGTGTTTCTACAATGAGACATGTGGAAGGAGCTTGTTATTTAGGCAGATGCTGGTATCCTGTGCCTATATAAGGAAAGCTAATGGCAGAGTACTAAGTGATCTGCTGCTAACCCACCCATCGGCTCCACAGGAGAAAGACGTGGTGATCTGTTCCCATAGATGTTACAGTCAGGAAAGCCTTATGGGACAGTTCTACTCTGTCAAATGAGGCCACTTCAAGTTGAAATAAGGAGCTCTGGTGGTGTAGTGGTTACGAATCGGGCTGCGAACCACAAGGTCAGCAATTCAAAACTACCAGCTGCTCCACGGGAGAAAGATGAGGCTTTCTGCTCCTGTAAAGATTTACAGCCTCAGAAACCCTGTACAGGGTCGCTATGGGTCGTAACTGACTCGACGGCACTTAACAACAACAACAAGTTGAAATTAGTTTAATGGCACCCTACAACATGACTATGTAAGCCTAGAGCTTTAGAAACTAGTAGAAAAATCTACTCATTCCTCAAATTTTCAATTATGTAAAATATTGAAGTAGGCCAAGTGTGGACTAATCTAAATGACAGTCACTATGGTGTGGTGCTTGCTGTATGATAAGCACCAGACTGCTAACTGCAAGGTCAGCGGTTCAAAATCCACCCTATATAGGGTTACTATGAGTTGAAACTGACTTGACCACACGTAACAATAACCAACCAACCACATGCCACTCAAAGAGCCACTGTGTCTTTTCTTTTCTTTTCCTGTAAGTTTTTCTCTAATTCATATAGACTAGAGCTTGTTTTTTTGTTTTGTTTTGTTTTTCAAGGTTGTAATTTTGAAGTCTTGATTTGGCACTGTAGGATAAACACTAGACTACAAGTTCAGTCTGAACCTCATAGTAGGCAGTTCAAATTCACCAGCTGCTCCTTGGAAACTCTATACAAGTTCCTTATGAGTCCAAACCAACTCAACAGCGATTAACAACAACAATGATGTTTTTAAGAGTGTGAAAACATTATTTCCCATGTAATCCTATATAGTTTGACTCATGGTTTATTTTTTGTGTTTCTCTCAAGGGCTAGAGACTCTGAATGTAGATAGGCTGTCAAAACCAAAAAGTATATTTAGAAGGAAAATGCATTTTCCTTCTAAAACTGGTTTGATCAAAACAACAGATATAAATGATTGCAATTAAGGAAATTATTTTACATTTATAGTTGTTGTTAAGTGCCAGGGAGTTGGTTTCAACTCATAGCTACCCTGTATAGGGTTTCCAAGGAGTGACTGGTGAGTTTGAACCACCGACCTTGTGTTTCAAGCCAACCTTGTGGTCCAGTGCTTTATCCCACAGTGTCATACCAGGACTCCTTAAGTAGATAATAGTAAAGTAACTGATTTAAGAGTGAAGAATTCCATAAATCAGTGTCAGATACATAAAAATTGTTTGAATGTAACTGTTGGAAAATGCATTAATTCTTACTAATTTTTAGAGGAAACTCTTGTATATTTTCAGAGACACTTTTCCTTATTTATGCTATAGAATTTTTAGAATTAAAAAGAAAAAAATAATCTGAAGTCATTTAAGAACTCATGCAGAGTACTGTGTGTCTATTTCTAGGAAGATTGATGTTTTGAAAGGGACTGCAGAACAAATTTCTTCTCAAACTGGAAATAAGGTACATTTTAAAAAAGATAATTTAAATTTAGAAATTATAACATTTGAATAATATGCTCATGTTTCTGATTTAGGATATCTGGAAAACGTAAGATTCCTTTTTCTCTTTTATTATTTTGCAGGTTCATGCAATTCAGTGTGATGTAAGGAATCCTGAAATGGTTCAAAATGCTGTATCAGAACTGATCAAAGTTGCAGGACTTCCTGATGTAAGTGTAATGGTGAGGAGGTCCAAGTATGAAGCTTTTGATGTTGAGAATACTCACCAGGATGAACTGAGGAAGTAAAATGTTAATATGAGAAAGTGCTATGTTGCGAAGACCCTATTTTCCGTCGCAATGAAATTGTACTTGCAGATGTCAGCTCTGCTTGAATCGGAACACAAATTAGGTGGACACCATTTCCTTTCAGGAATATTTTTAAAAAAGTATTTGTAATCATATAGAACAAATTTAATAAGATTATGCAATAACAAGTGCAGTTACCCAACGGCAACATATTTAGTTTAGATGATTCATACGCTTTGATTTTCTGAATAATTTTTGATTATCTCTGTCAGTGGAGGAAAACAGACAAAGAAAGCTACAAGAAACTCCAAATTGCTCCTTGTAAGAAGTGACAGATGTGTGAACCAAATAACAGATATTTTTACTGTTATTTGGCTCACATATTAAAAAGTCACTTCCTTTGATAGTCTCAAAGAGAGCACTTTTCTGTATTAAAAATATTTTCAGACAGACCAATAATATGAAATCTATAGAACTAAGTAGAATCTCTGTCGATAATGAAGAAACAAGATACCAGTGGCCCATTCCATTAGGACAAGTTACATCAAAATTACCACTAGTAAACCAGTTGGCACTGACTAGATTCCAACTTCTGGTGACCTCATGTGTGTCTGAGTAGAACTGTGCTCCATAGCGTTCTCAGTTTTTTTTTAAAGTTCTTTCTTCTGAGGTATGTCTTAGTGGATTTCAGCTTTTAACCTTTCAGCTAACAGATGAGTGTGTTAACCATTTACACTAATCAGGAACACCAAGTCCAAAGTCCAGAACCAGAAATTGAAAGGCATTTCTCGGAATTCTTGAAATAAAGGGTAGTAACATGGCTGTTTTTTTGTGTTAATTGCTGTCAAGTCCCTTCTGACTCAGGGTGACCCCATGTGTACAGAGTAAAACTGCTCCATAGGGTTTTCAAGGCTGTGACTTTTAGAAGCAGATCATTAAGCCTGTCTTCCAAGGTGCCTTTGGGTGTGTTCAAGCTATCACCCATTTGCCTAGTACTCAAATGCTTAACCATTCAAAGCATGAATCATCAGTCACATGATGTTGTTGTTGTTAAGTGCTGTTGAGTTGGTTCTGATTGTAGAGACTCTGTATAGGATTTCCAAGGATCACTGGTGAGTTTGAACCGTTGACCTTGTGGTTCAAAACGACCTTGCAATCCAGTGCTTTATCCCACAGTGCCACACCAGTCTGTATTTATTTTCCTAATAATAAACTCTGTCCAAATTTTGAGACAGTGATTTAAATTCTAAAACTTGTTAACAGGAGGTCTTCAGAGATTCCCAAATGTAAAACAAGCCAAACCTCCTGGTATTGTTTCGTAGTTGGTTATGAACTTCAGTTCTCTTTTATAATTTGGGTTAATACATTTCAGAGATAAAAGCCCTTGAAAGAAAATGTTCTTCCTTATCTAGTAGTTTTTATAACTTGCCTTCCTACCCACTATTAGATCGTGATAAATAATGCAGCAGGGAATTTTATTTCCCCCACTGAAAGGCTGTCTCCTAATGCTTGGAAAACTATAACTGACATCGTTCTAAACGGCACTGCTTATGTGACACTGGAAATTGGAAAGCAACTCATCAAAGCACAAAAAGGTATGTTTTATTTACTGGCCGCTACTAAGCACACCAAGGAGCTCTGGTAGCGTAGTGGTTACGAATCAGGCTGCTGACCTCAGGGTAATCAGTTCGAAACTACCAGCTGTTCTGTTGGAGAAAGATGAGGCTTTTTGCTCCCATAAAGATTGACAGCCTCAGAAACCCTGTACAGGGTTGCTATGAGTTGGAATCGACTCCCCGACACATAACAACAACAACAACTAAGCACACCTTATGCTATTTCCTAGAGCACCTGCAATAATCGATGAGACGGCATCTGCACTGGGACAACTCTCAATCTAACTTGGAATATTGCTGTACATTGCCATACAAATAAACAAACAAAAAACCCAAACCCAACCCACTCTGAGTTGATTTGGACTCCTAGTGTCCCTATTTAGGGTTTCTGAGGCTGTAAATCTTTACAGGAGGAGAAAACCTCATCTTTCTTTTGCAGAGTGGCTGGTGGGTTTGAACTGCCTACTTTGTGATTGGCAGTCCTGAGCTTATCCTACAACGACACCATGGCCTACACAAAAAAATTTATTTCAAGTGACATGGAAACTTGGAGACAGGGATGCCTAACTGTGGTTAGGGTTAGTGAGCAGGTTGAAGAGCAAGAAGCAGTCAGCAGAATTTTCAAAGAGCTTCAGGAGGAAAAGGGAGGGAGAGAGTTATTGTGAATGTCCATGGATGGGGACCTGGTGGAGAGGAACAGTGGAGGGATTCAGGGAATGATGAGCCATTTGATGTGATTAGAGATGGGGAGATAGAGTGGTGGGTAATAATTTTGGGAAGGTTGGTTGGGGTCTAACTGGAAAAGTTCTGAACGCCAAAATAAGGAGTTGAAGGAAACGGGGAGCAATTTTTCAAATGTTTTTTCCTAAAAGGTGTTTCAGGCGGACTGTGACTTAATTGGAAAGGCTTTTTACAACAGTGTCGGGAATTGAAAAGATTAGAGAGACCCATTCAAGATGTTTTGATTTTTCTTTCGGCATGTGGGTAGATGGTAAGAGGAATAATTTAGGAAACATTTAAAAGATAAACCAGGATAAGGGAATTGTTGTTGTTGTTAGCTGCCATAGACGCCGTGTCCAATTGGATCTAACCATTGGGATCCATAGAGCTTTCACTGCCTCATTTTCATAAGTAAATCACCAGGCCTTTCTTCCTAGCCTGTATTAGTCTAGAAAATTAGTAGGAAAAATCAGTATAGAGGGAAATTACAGGAAGAACATTCTAGTTTAGTGATGTGAACAAACGTCTTCATAAAAGTTCATGCATACATATAAATAGTATATTTTTGATTGTGGCTGTTTTGTGCCAAGAAGTTGGTTCTGATTCATAGCCACACTGTATAGGGTTTCTGAGAGCCACTGGTGGGTTTGAACTGCTGGTTAGCAGTCCAGTGCCTATCTTTTGTGTTATATACATACATGTCTAGAAATTTTATATATGCATTTAATAGACACTTACTGATGACTTTTATGACTTGGCCATGCGTTGTGTTTCATGGCACAGAGGTGACCCAGATGCTGTCCTGGATGAATTAGAGTTGAGACTTAAAAGGTAGAGGTATTTTCTCAGAGTAGTTTTCTTGCTTCTCAAAGGATGCCCTCTGAGTTGAGGGGATGAAGGAAGCCATGGAGCAGGCCAGGTTTCTTCCTCTGCCTCACTCTGCTCAATTTCTTCAGTGCAGTATGTATAGGATCATATTGTCTGCAAATAAGGAGAGTTTTACTTCCTCTTTGCCGTTTGGATGTCTTTAATTTCTCTATCATGCTGTACAGCTTTGGCTAAAACTTCCAGCACAATATTGAATAGAAATGGTGATAAAGGGCATCCTTGTCTGGTTCCTGTTTGCAGTGGGAAGGCTTTCAGTTTCTCTCCATTGAGCATGATGTAGGCTCTTGGTTTTGTATATATGCTCTTGATTATGTTGAGGAATTTCCCTTTAATTCCTACTTTGTTGGGTGTTTTTTAATCAAGAATGGATGTTGAATTTTGTCAAATGCCTTTTCTGCTTCAATCAATATGATCATGTGGTTCTTTTCCTTTTTCTTATTTATATGATGGATTACTTTGATTGTTTTCCTGATGTTGAACCATCCTTGCATCACTTTTATGAAACCCACTTGGTCATGATGTATTATTCTTTTGATGTGCTGTTGGATTCTGTTGGCTAGGATTTTGTTGAGAATTTTTGCATCATGTTCATGAGGGATATTGGTCTATAGTTTTCTTTTTTGGTGATGTCCTTTCCTGGTTTTGATATGAGGGTTATGCTTGCTTCATAAAAAGTATTAGGGAGTTTTCCATCCTCTCCTATGTCCTGGAATAATTTGAGTAGAATTGGTGACAGTTCTTCTCTGAATGTTTGGTAGAACTCACCCATGAATCCATCTGGGCCTGGGTTTTTATTGGCTGGAAGTTTTTTGATGGCCTGGTCAGTTTCTTCTTATGGGCTTGTTCAAGTTTTCTACTTCATTTTGAGTAAGTTTAGGTAGGTCATGTTTTTCTAGAAATATATTCATCTCATCTAAGTTTTTGAATTTGTTGGAGTACAGCTCTTCATAGTATTCTGTTATTATCCTTTTGATTTCATTTGTTCTGTTGTGACTTGACCCATGTGGTTTCTAATGTGATTTATTTGTGTCCTCTCCCTATTTTCTTTCGTTAGTTTTGCCAATGGTTTGTCAATTTTATTAATCCTTTCAAAGAACCAGCTTCTTGTCCTGTTGATTCTTTCTATAGTTTCGGTTTTCTATCTCGTTTATTTCTGCTCTTATCTTTATTATTTCCTTTCTTTTGGTGACTGTAGATTCTCTCTGCTGGTCTGCGTCTAATTGTTGAAGATGTTGTGTTAACGTGTTGATTTTGGTTCTTTCTTCTTTTTGGATGTGCACATTTATCACAATAAATGGTCCGCTCAGGACTGCTTTTGCCTTGTCCCAAAGATTTTGGTATGTTGTGTTTTCATTTTCGTTGGTTTCTAGGAACTTTGTGAATTCACTTTTAATTTCTTCTTTTACCCAGTTGCTTTTCAGCAGGGTGTTGTTCAGTTTCCATATATTCGGCTTTGTTGCTTTGGTCTTCTTATTGTTGATTTCTAGTTTTATATATAGCATTGTGGTCTGAGAAGATGCTCTGTAGAATTTTGATGCTTGTAAATTTATGGAGGCTTGCTTTGTGACCTGATACATGGTCAATTCTGGAAAATGTTCCATGCACACTGGAGAAGAATGTGTGTTGTGCTGTTGTTGGATTGAATGCTCACTGTATACATCTATGAGGTCAAGTTGGCTGATTGTGTTGTTTAGTTCCTCTGTAGCTTTGTCGAGTTTCTTTCTTCAGTGCAGTATGGATAGTCCTTGAAGCAGCTTGAGAAAGAACGTGGGGCAGGCAGAGGGATGTTGGATGCTAGAGAGGCACTAGCTGCTTCTTCTTTTTTTTTTTGCTATGAGCTTCTGTCCTGTCTCTGTGCACTCATTGAAATTAAAATCCCAGCTGCAACAAAGTAGATATGATTTAAATTTGGAATTTAGGGTTTTTGCTTTTAATTTTTATGTATTTATTTTTCAGAAGCAATGGATGATTAGAGAGGGAGACAGAAAAGGGTGGTGGGCTTGAGGGACACAGGACCTTGGGCTCTGTGTCTTTCTCTCTTTAGTCTGATTTTTCTCTTCACATCTTACTCAGTTCTCTAATTATTTCTGTTGCTCATCTCTTCCCTTTTGGTTCTTCATTTTTCTCTTCATCTTGTTTTCTTTCAACACTGTGTCTCTGCCTAATTGTCTCCTTTATTTGCTCACTGTCCATTTCTGTGACTCCTGATTTCTGTCTGCATTTCCCTTTTCTCATTATTGTCTTTCCTTCTAACATAGACTTTGATCTATTTTTATTCATCACACTGGATTAAAATTCTATGGGCTTCATTAAAAATATAATAGATAAGTCTTTAAAAGATGGAAGCCAGTTTGTATTCTTCCAAGATACCTGTCATTTATTGATGATGTCTCCTTGGAGACTTACTTGGACCACTCATCTAAGGAGAGTACTGGTCCTGGGTCTATTCTGGTATTGGCTTAACAGTCAGGCAGTTTAGGAGCTCATGATCTTTAAAGTATATCCAAATGTGTAAATCTGGAAGCAGCAAACTGAGGATCTGATCAGAAGTAGAAAGTCAATATGAGATATCTGAGAAGGTACACTAGAGGACATTTCCATAACCCCCAAAAGTCTCTTCTTGCCACCTTCCAGTCAGTCCTCATCATGTTTAAAACTTCAGAACATATCCCACCCACCATTAAAAAACAACAACTTTGTATTGTGAATTGGGTGAAGGTTCAGTTTTCCATTCAACAATTCATATACATTTTGCTTCATGTCATTGAGTATAGTCCCCACAATGTAATATCACTCATTCTGATTCTACCTTGTGTCTCCTACTTTCATGCCTCCTTCTTTTCTAAGCCTCCTGAACTTTGTCTATTGTCAAATGTTGCCATGTTGACCTCAGATAGTCAGTTGTTCTAAGGAACTTGGACCTCCCTAGTGTTATTGCTCCCCTCATAGACCTGGCTATTGTTTAACTGAAAACTGAGCTATGGGGGGAGTTCAGTTCCAGCCCTGAAGGGTGACTAAGGAGGGCCTTAGTCTCAAGGGTTCTATTAGTCACTATCTAACCTAGGTCTAGATTTTGCATTTGTTCCACATTATTTTCTTCTTTATCCAGGACCTTCTAATGTGATCCCTTTCAGAATAGTAGTGGTAACCATGTAGCTCTGGTCTTGATCGTGAAAGCTGGGACTCATGTTGGCCATTAGTCCCTTGGACTAATTGTTTCCATGTATCTTTGATTTTTTTCTCTCTTCTTTACTCTAGGAGGGGAGAAACTAAGAGTTGCAGAGTAGATGGCCACTCAAACTTTTAAGATACCACTTGCTACTCATCGAAGTAGGATGTAGAACATTTCCTTTGTGAACTATTTTGTGCCA